GGGAAAGCAGCTGAATACTTTAAGTGGGACTTGATGGGCTATACTAGTAGGAGCAGGGAAGACCGTGGTGCTGAGAGCAATATAGGTTGTGTCAGCTAAACTTGAGGTTTCAGAAGAGAGGAATATTATTAAGTGGTGAGGAATTTGGGCATTTCCAGAGAGCCCTCATAAAAGTCTTAACCATACAGTCATCGCTCCCTCCCTCAGGGCTTCATTTCCTAGCGGGCCCCATCCACTTTGGCACCTTGTCTCTCAGGCTCTTCTGAGCTGTGTTAATTCATTGACTTGATATATGCGTCTCACCCCTGAATAGGGATGCAGCAGGTGGCTAGCCCACACACCGGCTACCTCCTTTGTCTGTCTGTCTTTCCTCTTTCTTTCTCCTTCCTTCCTTCTTTCTCTTTCTTTTTAAAAAAATCTTTCTGTGGTTTCTTTCTCCCCTTGTTCTAGTGTCATTGTCCATCTCTATAAATTGGAAAAAAGCTCAGTTAGTTTCATTTTTTTTTACTTGCTAGTTTTCTCAGGTTACAGACATCTCTTTTCCTTTATGGCCAAACTTGATGAAAGAATTGTTTTCACTACTGCATCCAAACTTAGGGCAAACATATTTACACCAATGCCTTTTCTTCCCGAAGACTTTAATACTAGAATTACATTATTCACACACACACATGAAGGCAGCAAGATACAAAGTAGTTTTCCCCACACCAACCTGGCTATACAAAAATGTTTCTACAGAGGAAAAAAAAAAGCCTGATAGATAACATATAAAATTTTTAATTTGCCTCTGGGTACCTTGATAACGAGTTTTTCATTTTTAATTTGCCCAACTGGGAAAGGATAATTTACATCTACACTAGAACACATTGTTATGTGACTTTAATATTCTCAATTTAGATTCTGAAAAAGGAGGCATAACAGACAGCGAGAAGCCACCTGCGGCGGGTGAGCGCTGAGCCTTTCCGGCTCCTCTCCGGTTGCCTTGGTAACAGTCAAAGCGCTGGGTCAACTCTTCCCAGGATGCTGCGCGCCTTCCTACTTCCTGTGTTGGGGCTCGGAGCCGACTACTTCCGGAGCGTGGCCGGTGCTTGCGCAGCATCGAGGCGTTTGCTTTAGTCCCCGACCTGCGGAGGCATCAGCGATTTAGGGACAATGTTACGCTTTCGCCGGGTTTCTGTTGACGCTGGATAAACGGATCGGATGTTGGTTGCTAAGCAACCGCGGAGGGTGTGGCGTGGTGGTCTGCCCCATCCCAGCCATATCGAGTTCGAGACCCGTCTAGACCACACTGTGACATCTCGTCTGGAAAATGCAAAAACAGGGAAGGGGTGGTAACCCCACGGAAGAGCAGAGTCCGAGGAGGCCAGAAGAGAGCGTCAGACTCCCCTGACAGTGAAATTATAGACAGTAGTGAGCCACTAGGTGGATATTGGAAATCGTACCTCGGTCCTCTGCAAGAGCAGCCAGTGCTCTTAACCACTGAGCCATCTCTCTAGCTTGCCAGTTAAAACAAGCAAGCAAACAAACAAACAAAAGTCCTGAATCAAAATCAGACCAAACACTCGATTCCCTAAAATAGAAGGATGTATGTAACTTGACTCCGTGTTCTGCAGTGCAAATACAGTCGCTGTACGCCGTAAATATGATTTTTATTTGTCAATTATAAAATGGAATTAAATGTTAAAGTTAAAATGTGGGGCTGGAGAGATGGCTGAGAGGTTAAGAGCACTGGCTGCTCTTCCTGAGCAACAGGGTTCAATTCTCAGGAACCACACGGTGGCTCACGACCATCTGTAATGAGATCTGGTGCCCTCTTCTGGCCTGCAGGGACACATGCAGAACACTGTATACATAAATATTAAAAGTAAAAAGATTACAAAATGCTTAAAATTATATGTAACGTCATCCATTACCGAGACAGACTTAACAACTGTGATTCATTTTCCACGATTTTTTTCTTTAGAAAGGTAACTTTTGCTTTAGAAAATGAAAGCAAGCATGAAATTGCACAAACCTCCGGGTCCTGTCTGCACAGAAACAACCACTGTGATTGGCCACTTTGAAGGGGGCCTTCTTTTTATGCTGCTAGTAAATATAAACTCACACAGAATCAACTGTGCTATTTTAGAATGTAAAAAAATAGTTTAGAAAAAGACCACATAGTTGCACATGTATCTTTGTAGCTTGTCCTGGACATTTTTTTTTTTTTCGAGACAGGGTTTCTCTGTATTGTTTTGGAGGCTGTCCTGGAACTCACTCTGTAGACCAGGCTGGCCTCGAACTCACAGAGATCCGTCTGCCTCTGCCTCCCGAGTGCTGGGATTAAAGGCGTGCGCCACCAAGCCCGGCCATGTTTTATTTTATTTCTTTAAGACAGGGTCTCATTATGTAGCCTTGGCTGGCCTGGCACTCTATATTGTAGACCAGGTTATGCTCAACTCACAGAGAACTGCTGGCCCCTGCTTCCTGAATTCTGGGATTAAAGGTGTACACTCACAGAGAACCGTGAGTGTGCCGTGCAACGCCATACCTGGCCCTTTTGATCTTTGTGGTGTTTTCTCCTTTTAACTCTTGTTACCCCCCCCCCCCCCCACTTCTCACAGAATGCCTTTTCCCTTCTCCCCTGCAGGGGGGATTGTGTGTGAAGTTACACATGTCGCACAGAAAGCCCGCTCAACCTCTTACAGTTAATTTTTGCGATTATTCAGGCAATGTGTGTTTACTGTAGGACATTAAGGACGTGTAGGAGCTGGGAGGCCTGGTCTGAGTAAAAATCTATGGCACAAGTGTGAGGATCTGGGTTTGAGTCCCCAGAGCCCACCAATGCTGGGTGTGGTAGTGTGGACACCTGAGGTTGTCCTTGGACCTCCACACATGTGCTATGGCATGTGTGCACCTAAACTCTCAAGGGTACACAAACGCACACATACATACACACGCATGTGCATACCCCCACCCAACCATAGGGAGAAAATTCAGGAGAATTTAAAGAATCTAATACTTTGATGACACTGATATTTTGATATAAAGTTTTCTCTGTTCTTTCAGAAGTGAGCATTGAGACATGTTTTCTGGAATAATATTGCAGCTTTTAGTTTGCAGTTTTGATTGTTCATGTAGCTGAGTAATCCATTAAATGGTATTTCAAATCTTTTTAGGTATGCTGGCTAGTTTTGTTTCTCCATGGTCTCTGCTCCCGTTCCTGTCTCCAGGTCCTGCCTGACTTTCCATAGTGATGGACTATAACCTGAGAGATTAAGTAAACCCTTCCCTCCCAGCTGTTTTTCCATCAGTGTTTGATTATAGCTTATGGTCTGTGGGCCTTACCATGTCTGTTTAGCTGTCTTCTAGCATGCTAAACTAACTACTCACGCTGTAGACCAGGCTGGCCTCGAACTCACAGTTTATTCCTGAGTGCTGGGACTAAAGGTGTGAGCCACCAACGCCCAAGCTCTGAGCTGAATGTTAATGACTTAATTTCCACTTTTCTAACTAAATGTTTTTAGATTATTTATGTTTTATGTGTATGAGTGTGTTGTCTGCACACATCTATGTGCATTACATGTGTCCTGGTGTCCAGAGAGGTCTGAAGAGGGCGTTGGATCCCCTAGAACTGGAGTTATGGACATAAGCTACTGTGTGGGTGCTGGGAACCGAGCCCAGGTCCTCTGCACGAGCAACAATTGCTCTCAATTGCTGAGCCATTTCTCCAGCCTCATTCTAACGTGCTTCTCTCTTAGGACATGGTCTCATGTATCCCAGGCTAACTTTGACCTTGCTGTGTAGATGAGGATGACCCCTGACCCTTCTGTCTCTACCTCCTGAGTACTGGCATTACAGGCACATTTTGCCACCATGCCTGCTTATGTGGTGCAGGGGACAGAACCCAGCACTCCATGCATATCAAGCAAGCACTCTCTCAACTAAGTTATATCTTCAGCCTTCTTCTGTAGTTCGATTAACTATTTACCTTTGCTGAGCTCACTTCTGTCTGCAAATTAGGGTTGATAATATTTTGCAAGGTTGTAATGAGGAAAGGAAATAATGTACACAAATGGAGCTCAATAAAAATCTAATTTTTGGCTTATAGCTTTATTAGTCTGTAAGAACAGGTGTTCATATGAGCCAGTGCCCTCTGCTTCCTACTCAGGTTTACTGAGCAACTGTGACATCTAAGTACTGTTTGTAATTCTTAATGCCTCGTATGTCCGTTTTTCTTAGATGTTTCTTCCTTCAGAAAACATACACTGTGGTTCAACTTCAGTAATTTTCTTATTCCTCTTTGTTTTCATCATCCTGCCTGGCTCAGGGTAGCAGGTGCTGAATAAATGTGTGAGCCGAGTTGAATAATTTAGTGGAGAGAGGAAAAACAAACACACCACACACACAAATTAAATAAAATCCGAAGTCTGTCACGAATGCACTAACACATACAAAGTGCTTTGAACTGCAGACCAGACAACATTAATTTTGAGTAATAGCGCTGGCAATTCCCTGGGGGAGTAGATAGGCTTAATCTGGGGCCTGATTGTGGCTACCGACCAAAAAGGCTTCGAGACAGGCGCCACCGTATAAGCTGAGGTTTGGAGATAGAAGTAAACTGCTTATCTTACCAGTTATTTGTGTTGGCAAGGGAGTGGGGTTGAGGAAGGGGTCTCGATGAGCTAGAATCTGATGTAACCCAACAGTCTTTATTGTTCCCAAGCGTTTCTGGAAACGATGCCTTTAATTTGGTCTGAGCGGGTAGTGAGAATGAGAGAAACGGTGGCGGTCGGGGGATGGGACAATGGCAGAGACCTTCAACAACAGAAAGGAACTTAGAAGGAGAGGATGTGTCCAGGAGGGTGCGGACACCCTTAGCAGTTCGGGCGGCAGCAGGAGGCTGACAAAGCGCACTTAAGAAGGCAGGCCAACCAGCCACTGGGCAGCAGCAATGAAGATGGCCACGAGGCCCCGCCCATCAAACCACGCCCACCCAAAGCCCCGCCCCGAGCTGCTGGCGGCGCCTCTGCGGTGCTGGAGCGCCGAGGGCTCGCCGGGTGGCGGAAGCGGCGTCCAAGGGTCGGCTGAAGGGAGCCAGGAGCGGGAGGAGGCGGCGGCGAGGCCGGCGAGGCCTGCGGGCGGCATGGCTGCAGCTCCGGACGGTGGCGGGCCAGGCCCCGCGGCGGGCGAACCGCTGCTGCAGCGACGCGACTCCGGCCAGGGCTCGCCCGAGCCGCCGGCCCACGGGAAGCCCCAGCAGGGCTTCCTCTCCAGCCTCTTCACCCGGGACCGGAGTTGCCCGCTCATGCTCCTGAAGACGCTAGAGACGAGTAGGAGCGGTGCCCTGGAGGTTGGGGTCGGGGGCGGCATGAGATCCCGGGGCGAGGCGAGAAGGCCGGGGACCCCACTGAGCCCCAGAGCTGCGTGGGCCGGTGGGGGCTTGGGCACTCCCGCACCGCTCGGTTAGGAGTCTGTCCTTTTGGGGTCACAACTCAGTGTCTTATGTAAGTTACGCGGCAGCAGGGGCAGTAGGGTGACAGTAGCGAGAGCTGGGAAGACCCCATTAATAGGCGGTCTACTGGCTGTGCAGCCTTCCTGGGGTGGTGGTGGTGGTGTTTTCTAACCTTCATTCATTGCAATAGGGACAGAGGAGAATGCTGGAATAGAAACCCTTGGGAAACCCCGTGTTTATGCACCTAAGTGCTCTTTGCTGGGGAGAGAGTTTCTAGCTTCATCGTGTTCTCAAAGAGGCCCCAACTTCTTCTTCTTCTTCTTTTTTTTTTTTTTTTTTGGTTTTTCGAGGCAGGGTTTCTCTGTATTGTTTTGGAGTCAGTCTTGGAGCTCGCTTGGGCTGGTCTCGAACTCACAGAGATCCGCCTGCCTCTGCTGGGATTAAAGGCATGCGCACCAACGCCGGGCCCCAACTCGTAAAACGTTTGTTACCACTGCCGCGGGTCAGGCAGGCGCACAGGTGCCCTCTAAGCAATTTCTCACCAGTCCCAGCGACACCGCTGTAGAGTCGTGTTCCCTTATACCAGCACAGATTGCCTGTCTACTTCAGATTTATTAAGGGAAGTGAGAGTTAACTGTATTTGTCCCAGATAATAGGTTAATGTTTCATAGAGTTGGTCATAATTCAGTAGTCAACTGATCAAAGATTTTACTCTCTTCCTTTTTATTTATTTTATTTTTGTTTTATGTTTTGCCATGGGTGTCGGGTCCTCTTTAACTAGAGTTACAGTTGTGAGCCTCCATGTGGTTGCTGGGAATTGAACCAGGATCCTCTGAAATAACAGTCAGTGCTCTTAACCACTGAGCCATCCCTCCAGCCCCTTCCTCTCCTCGTTTTAAAAAGATTTATGTGTATGATTGTTTTGCATGTGTGTATGTCTGTCACTACCTGCATTCTTGGTGTTCAGGACTGTGAGCCACCGTGTGGGGGCTGGGAACTGAACCTGGGTCCTCTGCAAGAGCAACAAGTATCCTAACCCCTGAGTCATTTCTTTAGCCCCTCCCCCAGGTGAGGCCGGAACCCAAGGCCAGGCTTTACCGCTGGGCTCAAATCCCTAACCCCCTTCTTTCTTTCTTGTTGACCATAGACTCCCACTCTGCCAATTGCCAGGCCCCACTGAAGAACTGGCTGGCAGGGTCTTTGCTTGGTATGTCCCACTTGGAATGTGGTACTCAGAACGGGGCATGATGTTACCACAGAGAACAGCGTAGGCACCGCCTTCCCCACATCTAGGTACTATGCTGTTTTTGTTTTTCTGACTGTGGCCCAAGATGCCCCTGGTCTCCTAATACATGCTGTAATACAGCGCTTAGTAGTTTAAACAAGACTAACCTTTGGTACTAAGATGCTTGGGGGCACCATTTGGTCATTGTGTTAATGTTTTATTTCATTCAAGACTTGATTTGGTATTAATTTACATGTTCCACACCCATTTAAAAATTGGTTTTAAGGTAGTAATGTGAGTTATTTTGTGATGTCTGCTATTTGGATGATTAATTGGTGCTGTGTTTTCTAATGAACATACTTATTACTATCTTTGTAGATCCATATGTCAAACTTCTACTAGATGCTATGAAACACTCAGGCTGGTAAGTAAATCTTTTTAAAATGTCACCGTATACTCTGGAGCCCCCAGAACTAAGATTACGGAGCTATTGTACTTGGGGTTTCTCACGTTGGAATGCAAAGCCTTCTTGGTCCACATGGGCAGGCTGCATGTCCCCCAGGCTGGTCTTGTTCTCTTCAGCTGTCTTTTGTTCTGGCCCAGTCCCTGGTTCTACTGTTCACTCTGAATATTAGTAAAGGCAACATTTACAGTTTGTCCTGAAAGTAATTCTCAAACTTGGCCCTTCCATTACTCCAGCCTAGGACACTGTGGTGAAGAAATCTTAACTCGGGTTAATTAGTAGGAGGCTTCCAGATACAAACTCAGAGCAGATTAGGGAAATGACTTCTGATAGCTACTTTTTAATACCTGGCCCAAAGGCAGGACTCCATTGTATTTCCAGTGTGGTCCTAGTCATGTGACCAACTCCTTGATGGGTTCCTTAAAGAGTGGGAAGTAGTATGGAGCCTGCAGGGACGGTCTGTCATTCTACAGGCGAGAGTCCTGGCTGTGTTAAATGGCTTGCCAGGTTCCATAGGGTTAGTGGTGGGAGGGCTGTGCCGTATGGTTCAGGGTATCCCAGACAGGGCTTGTTGTAGAATATTATTACTATTTTTTTAAATATGTTTTTATTTAAATTAGAAACATGCATGCTTCACATGTCAATCCCAGCTCCCTTCCCTTTACCCCACAGCCCAATCACCACATCATTCTCCAGGGAGGGTGAGGCCCTCCTTGGGGGGATCTCCAGAGTCTGTCATTTCATCCAGGGCAGGACTTAGGCCCTTCCCCATGTGTCCAGGCTGAGAGAGCATCCCTCTATGTGGGATGGGCTCCCAAAGTTCATTCATGCACCATGGTAAATACTGATCTTCTACCCAAGGCCCCAGAGATTTCTGAGGCCTCCTCACTGACACTACATTCATGGAGTCTGGAGTAGAATTTTATTTTAAGGTGCATTACTTCTGTTTATGCTTTGGAATATTTGTTTAATGATGCAAGAATTGTTTGATTAAATAAAATTCACCTGCTATCAGAGGCTGGACCAGCAACTAGCTGACAGGAAGTGGAGAGGAGCCAGGTGGAGAAGGGTTTATAAGAAGGGGCGAGGAGAAGCACCAGGGCTTTTGGAGAGATGAGAGAAGAGAGGAGGTGAGATACTTGCTATTCAGCCTCTCTGAGGAGCAGAATTCCACCTCAACCTTTGACTCTTGAGTTCTTTGGAGAAACAGAGTTTAGGTGAGTTCCCTTCGTAGCTGTGAAAGAGTCGGTGTCTCAGGGGACAGAGTTCCCTCAGGCTGCGGCTCTTGAGGCCTAATTGCTGCAGATATTGCATGGAGTAAAGGGCAGAAACGATTTAAAAAGGGGACAAGGACTGCTCCCTGCATACATGGCACTTACGTCTCTCCATGCTCCTCAGTACTGTTAACAAAGGGAGACACTTCTCTTGCGAAGACTGTGAGGGAAACGTCAGCGGAGGGTTTGATGCTTCAACGTCTCAGGTGGGTGTCTTTGCTGGAATTGTGTTTGTCCCTTACTCCCTTCTGATACTTGCCAAACACTTTTCACACGATGGGCGTTCTATTTGGTAGACTTTGTATAGAACTTAAAAAAAAAAAAACAGTTGTGGTCCTTAGTGTTATTCTTTGGAAGAAGACACGAACTCCTTAAACAGGAAATTTGAGAATTTGAGGCAGGTAGGATGTGCGGTGTGGTAGCTCTGTTTCTGCAACAAGCGGCTGAGAAATCGAGCTTATAGGGCGGAATGAGGGATTTCGGCTCATGGTGTCAGCCCATGGTCACTCGACCCCATTGCCTTTGTGGCATGTGTCAAGTCAGAACTTCATAGTGGACTGTATCTGTGGGCATCAAGGTCACCATGGCCCCCTCATGCTCAGCGATTTAACTTCCTTCCACCGGCCCCTCTTTTGAAGAGCTGCAGGATAACCAATCCTTTGGGGCAGGAGGGAATGGTTAAGAGCACTGGCTGCTTTTCCATAGGACAAGACTCAGTGCCCAGCAGCCACATGGCCGCTCACAAACATTGGTGACTGCAGTCCCCTGCAGGCAAGCATGTGGTGCTTAGACATACGTGCAGACAAAACACGTAAGCATTAAAAAAATAAAGAGGAACCAGTCCTTCAGTCCCTGGGCCTGTGGAGGACAGTCAAGGTCTACACTGCGGCAGGTGGTCACCACGACAGGATAGTGACGTGTTGGTTGAAAGCCACTAACAGACTCAGCTAGAGGACACACAGTCCCTGCAAAGGCAGAGAAGACAAACGCTGTCAACCAGAATGCTAGGAAATCACAGGTGCGAGGAATACCGTGCTGTGTAGAGGGTGGGGACGCATGGGAAACAAGGGGTCTAGAATTGGAAACCAATGGGAGCTGTGTGGTGGGCGGCTGTGCGTGCTGAGGCTACCATATAAGGTAAGGTTCCAATGGCTGTGTCTGTCTTGTAGAATAGTGATGAGCATCACATTAGCTTGAGCACTCAATTTTATTATTAGTTTTAAGTCGCTAGAGGGAGGGTTCCCACGGAATATTGGGGGTAGCAGGTGGATCATGTGACATGGTCAAGGTTGTTGAAGGTATTGCATGTAACTTTTCTAATTTGAATATATAATCTATTTAACTCCACTTAGTGCTTTCGACTGGACAATTTTGTGTGTATTTGGTTACTTATACCTGTCTACAGAAATATGGGTGAGCACTGTGAGTTTTAGGCTTGAGTCCCTCTGCTTATTAGCTGTGGGCCTGGGCAAGTTATTTTTCTTGCTCTTAGTTTCCTCACTGGTAAATTGGTAATCACATTACGGACAGCTCTCAAAGGCTCTTGGCATGTTTGCCCATCCCCCGTGGTGGTTAAGTAGAGTGAGTGTTTGGGAGCTGGGGCAGTAGCTCGGTCAGTAGAGGTCTTGCCTAACGTACATGGACCCCTGAGTTCATCCCTGACACCGCAGAATGCATACTTGGGGACACACAGCTGTAATCTTAGCACTCGGGAGGTGGAGGCTGGGGGTCAGAAATTCGAGGCCAGTCTCAGCTATATAGAGAGTTTGAGGCCGGTTGGACTAGAGAGGCTGTCTGGGGGGGAAGGGGGAAGGGGGAGGAGGAGGGGGAAGGGAGATAGAGTCAACATTTTGAACTCTCAACTCTGGGCAGTGTTAAACACATTTTCCATTCTACCCCGTTTTGAATTGGAATTTTTATTATGAAGTCTTCTATTTGTCCAGGAAGTTAGAAAACCCATGTGTATATACTTTGTGAAATAGTGGAAGCCTCTGTGTAACTGATACCCGGATGGGAGGAGTAAACTGTTCCCAGGACTTCAGATACTGCGTGGTCCTCTTGACTCACGTCCCTCATCCTGACTGTGGGCACTAGTCCCTGCTTTTCTGAGTTTTCCCACCCATATATGCAGTCCAATATTGCGTTGTTTGGATGCTTGCTTTTGGGCCTCCTACATAGACGACTTTGAGTTATGTGGAATGTGTTGTGGATTCAGCATCCTTTGTGGCTTTGTGAAGTGTAAAATTCTCCAGTAGACAGTCCCTTGTAAGGTAGCTCTTTGGATCTCTGTTGTTTTTCCATGCTGCTGTGTGCCCTGTCTGGTTTACCTAACTTCACTGTTGTGTACTATTGCACTGTGTGTTTGCATCAGAGTTCACCCTGTCTATTACTGGTTCCAGCCTTGCAGTTGTGTGAAGTTCTGCTGTAAATATTCTCGACCTTCTCTCCTGGTGACATTTCAAGCTTCTCCATGCTCCAAGTCTTTGTGCAGGATTGCAGGGGCATGGAGTCTCCAGCATGGTGCCTGGTGACACTGTCTACACTTTCATGCCCATTCTCCTGGTGGCTCCTTTGCCGATGTCCCTTCCAGCCCCTCAGTGCTTTCTCTTTCTCTGCTCTGACAAGGGGTCTTGTTCTTCTTTTAGGTCAGACTTCTGTTTTGGATGCTCATCTGTGTATTCAAATGATCGCTTAGTGCTCCTGCTTGGATTGTCTTAAAGATTCCTTAGACTCCATATGTCCAAGTTCAGACTCATGATTTTTACCATCCTTTAGCTTCTCTTAGTCTTGTTTTTTAGTTATCCCCTCCCACCCTTCCTCCTTCTTTTCTTTCGGTTTTTTGGGGACATGGTCTGATGTAGCCCAGGCTGGTCTCGATGTAGCTGAGACTCTACTCCTGCCTTCACCTCCGCGTTCCGGGCTCACATGCATTACCACCACGCTCAGCTTGGTTTTACACCTCTCAGTAGGTGTTTCTGCCATTTAAGCCGGAGATTTATATATTCTTCTGGTTCCTTCCCCACCTTTATCACCAGATTTTGGTCCCTTTACCTCGTAAATTATGGTCTGGCTCCCACCATTCTTAAATCTCTCACCGTCTGCCTGTCGCCTAGAATACCACAGTGGCCTTCATCTCGTTTCTCTGAGCCTAGCTTTGGCCGCCTCCCGCTTATTCTCTGGCTGTAGATTGAAGGGTTAACACAAAGCACACCCCTGTTTCAGCACTCCCTCAGAGGCTTCCCACTGCTGCCAGGATGCAGGCAAGGTCTGTGTGACTTGTCCTCAGCCCGAGTCACCAGCCGGCTCAGCCTGCAGACCCCAGGCCTTTTCTTGGTCTGGCTTCAGCTTCTTGTACATTCTGTTCTTTCTGCCCTCTCTCTCCCCTTTGCATATGATGTCCTCTGTCCTTCCTTCTGTTTAAACTTAACCACCACTCATTCGGTAGGCCAGGGCTCTATTGAGTTTTAAAATCAATTTATTGAACAATTTAAACATTTTTTGAGATTAGAATCTTAATTCCATCATTTCCCATTTCCCTTTCCTCCCTCCAAACTCTCATGTACCCCTTTACATGCTCACTTTCAAATCTGTTTTCACTTTTATTTTATCTGTATGGCTGTTTTGACTGTTTTATGTGTACGTCTGTGCACCATGTGTGTGACTGGTGCCCACAGACACAGAAGAGAGCCTTGTATCTCTTGGAACTGGAGTCACAGATGGCTGTGAACCACCATGTGGTTGCTGGGAATTAACCCTGGGTCCCCTGGAGAACAGCCAGTGCTCTTAACCCCTGAGTCATCTCTCCAGCCCACCAAGAAGTACCTTACATATCTCCCAGTTCTCTGTAGTTCTCTGTTAACAGTCATCTCCTTTTTATAGTTGGGGAAACCGAGGCACGGAGAGACTAGGAAACTTGCTCAGATATCTGGAGGGATGGTCCAGAACACTTAGTGCTCATTCAGAGGACTAGAGTTCACATCTCAGTGCCCTTGTTGGGTGGTTCACAGTCCGTTAGCTCAGCTCTAGGGGATATGAAGTCCTCTTCTGATCTCTCTGGCCACCCACACTCATGTCCATATTATTGAAAAAAAAATATATATATGAAGAAATTTGCCCAGCTTACTAAGCTAGCAGGGCCTGGATCTGTGCTTTAAATATGGCTGTTTCTTCCCAAAGCCCATTCTTGGAACCACAGAGTACAGCATCCCAGGCGAACTGGTATGGCCAGCTCAGGGGGTGCCATATATGAACACTCGTCCTTTTTTTTTTTTTTTTTTTTTTTACGAGACAGGGTTTTTATGTATTGTTTTGGAGGCTTTCGGTCCAGCCTGGTCTCGAACTCAGAGATCCGCCTGTCTCTGCCTCCCGAGTGCTGGGATTAAAGGCATGCGCCACCAACGCCCGCCATGAACGCACGTCCTTAATTGGAGTGCTGGCTTGGCCTAGAGAGAAGAGGGGGAGGGGTTGTGAGGGGAAGCGTGAGTAGGGGCTTCCAGCAGGTGGCAGGCAAGAGAGGAAGTGGGACCTACAGAGCGAGCGGACTTTAGAGACTAGCGAGTGAACTCTTGTTTTCTTGTCTCCTAGATTGTTTTGTGCCAGAATAACATCCGAGATCAGGCTCACATGAGCAGAGTTGTCACCCACGAGCTCATCCACGCGTTCGATCACTGTCGGGCTCATGTCCACTGGTTTACCGATGTCAGACATTTGGCGTGCTCGGAGGTGAGTCTCATTGTAGAGCATGTATTTTCTCCAGAACTCTTTATTCAGATGCAGCTGTTTAAGCATATTCCTCTTCGTGCTGTTGTGACTTTAACGTAGTCTCTTTGTAGACTTGCTGTAAATGCTATCTTCAAGACCTAATAATAGTATCAGCTGGTTTAAATCATAATAAATCATAATAAGCTACTTCTCTTGGGGTACACCGAGGGCCAAAGGTCATGCCAGTATGATTTTTTAAAGATTATTAATTTTTATAGTTCTGGGATTTGAATCCAGGGCCACTTGCACGCTAGTCAAACTCTGTTAGCTGAGCTTACATGTCAGCCTTGGATTTGCTTTCGCAGTGCTGGGGGAGAGCCCTGAGCACAGTGCATGCTAGGTAAGCAATTCACTACCAGTAAAGTGCCCAGCCCTTCCGGATTCTCCTTTAATCTTCACAGCGGTCCATTGAGGAAGATAGTTATAACCCTTGTCTGCTTGATGTGCAGAGCGAAAGTTGTTTGGATTCTAGAGTTAGTGGCAGAGTTGGGTTACAAGGGTTCTTAACCAGCTTGCTGTGTCTCATAGGCAGAGTCACTGTTTGTCCCAGAGTAAAACATTTAGCCTCAAAAGTTCAATGTAAAAAGATGCTTGTCATTTGTGATTTGGGGTTGCTCTCGGAAGTCCATGTGCTCCGTATTCTGTACTTGAATTTCAGCATTTGAAGAGTACATTATAATGAGAAATTAAGGAGTTAACAAATCTCAAGCATACACTTTATAACATAGACTGTTTCCTTTTTCCCTTGAAATCAATATGTGCCCCCGCTGCATCTAACTAAAACTCATTATTTGAAGTTTGGGCTCCGGTGTTACGAGCCTAATGCCTGTTAGTTAAGGTGTTCATACGTTGAGCCCACAGTGGAAAGCAGCCATGTTATTGCAAAGGTAACAAGAAGGGGACCATTTCTCTTAGCAGTGAATTCTCAAAAGTGTGGCTAAAGGCTGTGTCATGTATGGGGGTAGTTCCAGAACTCACAACAACAACAAAAATCTATTAACATCATAAATCAGAAAATGTACTGACTTCAGTAGGGTGTTCTTCATTCTTTGTGTTTTGTATGGTGTAACATCTCATACACAGTCCTGGACCTAGAGGAGACTCATGGCACCTTGTGGGATTTGGGCTGTGGCCAGGGTCACATGCTAGTTTTAGGCACTTTGGAAGAATGTTTTCTTGAGGTCCATTTGGTAATTTCTAGAAGTGTTTGTAACTTCTAGAGATCATGAACTTTAACTGTGAGGTCCAACCAACTCTCTGACTCTTTGTTTCCAGAAGAACTTGTTTATGTCCTTGAGGCTATAGGTGATTTGTAGAAAATTCCCTTTGGTGAGCTATTTAACTCCCTGCCACTGTGCCCCTGATTTGTGTGACACGCTCTTGGAATTCTGCCCTTGCTAATAGATGTTTAAAGAAATGATTTAGAAGGAAGTTTCAGATGTGCTGGGGTCTCAGAAATACATGCCGAGTTTCTGTTCTTTCCAGTTTTAAGTGTCAGCTGGTGGTGGATAGTTAGAGGTCCTTTCTCTCACTTACCCTCTGTGTTTGTGACAGATCCGAGCCGCAAGCCTCAGCGGAGACTGTTCTCTTGTGAACGAAATCTTCAGGTTGCATTTTGGATTAAAACAACACCATCAGGTAAACACACACAGGATCACTGATCTTCCCCGGAATCGTGAGTGGGTCGTGAGTAAAGAAAGACAGGAAATACACAGGGCCGGCAGCTCACAGCGCCGTAACCCAGTTCCGGGCCTTCTCATACCCTCACATGGATGGCAGCAAAGCGGTGAACATACAAAGACAGGAAATACACTTAGTATCAAGAACCATGCTTAAAAAAAGTAAGGTGACGGTCGTGCACGAATTTAATCCCAGCACTCAGGAGGCAAAGGCAGGTGGATCTCTGTAAGTTTGAGGCCAGCCTGGTCTATAGAGTGAGCTCCAGGACAGCCAGAGATACACAAAGAAACCCTGTCTTGAAAAAAAAAACAAAACCAAAACCTACCTACATGAAGAGAATACAAACTACCATACTATTTAAGTTGATGGAAATTATATTTCATAATCATGAGTCAAACATGTGATTGTCTAGACTGTCTGAGAGCTATGATCTTGCTCTGGGGCATTTGAAACACTTTATATGTATGCATGTTTTGCCTGCATGTGCCTGTGGAGGTCAGAAGAAAGTGTTAGATCTCCTAGAAAATGGAGTTAATGTGGTTGTGAGCTGCCATGTGGGTACTGGGAACCAAACCCTGGTCCTCTGCAAGAACATCCAGTGCCCTTGACTGCTGAGCCATCTCTCCAGCTCCAACTCCGGATACTTCTAAATGGGGATAGATAGAGAATATAAGTGAAATGGTAGCCTGCCGCTATCATCAAAATTGCTGTTTATTTTTTATGTTTCTTTGAGAGTAGTCTTGCTGCTGCTGGTTTTGTTCTGGGCTCAGGCCTTCTTTCTGCCTCAGCCCCAAACTGCTGGGAGCACAGGTGTGAGTCACCACACCTGGCCTGTCACCTTAGCTTTATGTATGCTATGCAGCCTAAACTGGCCCGGAATTCTTGGTCCTCATGCCTTATCTCCTGAGCATTGATTTTTTTTTTTGTTTTTTTGTTTTTTTGTTTTTTTCGGGACAGGGTTTCTCTGTGGCTTTGGAGGCTGTCCTGGAACTCACTTGGTAGTCCAGGTTGGTCTCGAACTCACAGAGATCCGCCTGCCTCTGCCTCCCGAGTGCTGGGATTAAAGGCGTGCGCCACCAACGCCCGGCTCTGAGCATTGATTTTACAAGCATGTGCCGCCATGTCTTTTATGGAAGGGTCCCATAGTGTCCTTTTGAATTTTAGTTTGGAGAAGAGAGAAATAGATACTTTAAAAGCTCTCTGAGAATTGGAATGGCAAGGCCTTACATTTTCTAAAACATGTAAATTTTAGGATGGACAAATTCAAGATAATGGGTGTATTATTCTCATAGCAAAACAGGCCAAGCAAAGACTATGTTTAGATTTTCTTTCTGCCTAAAAATGAAGGCACCTTTCAAGTCCAGGTGTCCAGGAATGGTTTCTTGCTTCCTTGGGACAAACAGTAAGAAGTTAATCTGTCACTAGTCAGCTGAAAAATTATGAAAGAGGTGTGGAAGTGGAGCACATTGTATTTTATTATTATTATTATTTTTTTGGTTTTCCGAGACAGGGTTTCTCTGTATTGTTTTGGAGGCTGTCCTGGAACTCACTCTGTAGACCAGGCTGGCCTCGAACTCACAGAGATCTGCCTGCCTCTGCCTCCCGAGTGCTGGGATTAAAGGCGTGCGCCACCAATGCCCAGCTTTCTTTCTTTCTTTTTTTTTAGCACATTTTATTTTTTAAAGATGTATTTTATTTTTAGTTATATGTACATGTTGTCAGTGTGAGGATCAGTTGAAGAAAGAGGGTCACTCCAGAATGTAATTCAGGTTTAGCAAAAGTAGCAGGGGAATCGATCTCCATGGACTGACCTCTGGTGACTTTGCAAAAGCCTCTTTGATTGTTACACAAATTATACCTCTAGCAAGTCAATTTCTGCATACCCAAACCTCTTACCCAGAGTTGTTTGAAGGAACCATTTGCCCGAACGGTTCTCAGCCTGAGACCTTCCGGTTTGCCAGGTCCTCTGGAGACTTAAGTTTCGCAAAGGCTCTGAAATCCTCCAGGAAGGATTAAGAATCACCGACTTTAAACAAAAGGCAGTTCAGAGCGTGGGTGTTATTGCTCTGGAATTTAATCCAGATGCGATGGCTCTGTGGAATCTCCAATGTGTCTGTCTTCATGAGTGTAGGTGCCTGTGGAAGCCAGAAGAGGGCATCAGATCCCTGGAGCTGGAGTTACAGGTGTTTGTGAGCTACCCACCATGGCTGCTGGGAACTGAGCTTAGGTCCTTTGGAATAGCAGGCAGCTCTCTTAACCGCAAGTCATCTCTTGAGCCCCTTGGAGTATATTTTAAATTTAATTAAGCAAGATCAGCCAGGACCTTGCCTATGAACTTTTTTGTGTGTGGTTTTGCAAATTGGGAATTATTGTTTGGCAGACATTGTCTGGTGCTTCAGGGGATGAAATCTGGCTATATTCCTCCACAATGAGAATGTCTAAATTGTCTTATATTGAACTAACATGTTCCATGGTTTTGAGTGTTGTATTTATTAACTTTATTTGACTTTTTGGGATAGTAGAAATTAATAAGAGAACAGGAAGAGAAATCTTTTAAAAATTTGTTTATTTGGGGGCTGGAGAGATGGCTCAGTGGTTAAGAGCACTGGCTGTTCTTCAGAGGTCCTGAGTTCAATTCCCAGCAACCACATGGTGGCTCACAACCATCTACAATTCAGTCTGGTGCCCTCTTCTGGCATGTAGTTAGAACACTGTATATGTAAAAATAAATCTTAAAAAAGTTTTGTTTATTTTACATGCATTGGTGTTGTTTTGCTTGCATATGTATCTGTGTGAGAGTGTCAGAAACCCTGGGACTGGAGTTATAGACAGTTGTGAGCTGCCATGTGAGTGCTGGGAATTGAACCCAGATCCTCTGGAAGAGCAGCCAGTGGTCTTAACTTCTGAGTCATCTCTCCAGCCCTGGAGATATGAATCTTAATTTAGGTAATATGTAATGGTATCATATGATTAAATTTTCTCACAAAGTGAAAACTGCATGGGTCTCCTTTTCCTTAGACTTGTGTGCGGGACAGAGCTGTTCTTTCCATCTTGGCTGTTCGGAACATCAGCAGAGAAGAGGCCCAGAAGGCTGTGGATGATGTTTTTGAGTCTTGTTTCAATGACCGTGAGCCTTTTGGCAGGATCCCACATACTAAGATATATGCCCAGTATGCTCATAGGGACTTTCAGAACCGTCATCGCTATTACTCGAATATATGAAGATGGTGGCCTTTCGTATCTTTGAGCATCAGGGTCAGGAGGGAAATGCGGTTCTTATGCACAAATGTATACAATGTAAATGATCAGTTAGGCATTTAGCTAAAGTCCAGGAGGTGAAATGTTCTCGGCACAGAATGTATACAATGTAAATGTTCTCAGCACAGAATGTATACAATGTAAATGTTCTTGGGTACAAAGTGTAATGATTGGTTAGGCACAGTGGATCCAGATTGTGTACAGTGTAATTGATGGGTTAGCCAAGGATCCAGAATGTATACAATGTAAAAAAAGTGCAGAAGGCACTGGCTGGTTTTAGCATTTGATTACAAAAAATAAATAATGGCAAAAAAGGAACTCCTTGCACTGCAAGGCAAAAATTGAATCTTTATAGCTAATCATTTTAGTAAATAGGTAAATGAATGATATTTTTGTGTTTTTCACAGTATGCTTATTTTTTAATGCTTTAGTTTTATAATTTGTAATTTTTATTATATGAGATTTTAAATTTGATATGAAATCTGTGACGCATGCTCCTGTGTGGTGGTAGTGGGAGAGAAGTTAGTATTTGCATACAATGAGATGACCACATTATAGGACATTTGTGAGGTGCTGTCATGATTAAAATGCAAAGAATGAAAGTTGGGAATAATTCGTTCAAGGTCAGTGTCATTTTCTCTCTGTTAATTGTGTGTGTGTGTGTGTTGGGGACTTTATGACTTAATTTTCTAGGGACAGTTTGCTAATTAGATATTTACTGTTCTTTTAGATTTTATTTTTTAATTTTATGTATATGGGTGTTCTGTATGCATGCCTGTGTATTATGTGCTTGCCTGGTACCTGAGGAGGCCAGAAGAGGGCCTTGGATCCCCTAGAACTGGATTTATAGATGACTATGATCCATTGTGTGGGTGTTGAGAATTGAACTTGGGTCCTTTGGAAGAGCAACCAGTGCTTTTAACTGCTGAGCCATCTCTCCAGTTCCTCTTATTAGATTTTTTTTTAAAAATTAAGGCACTATATCTAAGTTATAATGCAATTTAGTTTAATTTTTATATATTCGTAACATTTTTCATGTAACGATTTTCAAATATTTTGTCAGTCCACATCTTTCTAGCCAGTGTGGCGGTGCACCTTTAATTATAGGACATGGGAGGTGGAGGCAGGAGGATGAGGAATAAAAGACCAGTGTTGGCTATGTAGTGAGTTCTAGACTAGCCTGAGACTTCATCTCAAAGGGAAAAAGAGAACATTGTCCTCTCAGCCACACTTCAGCTGATTAAGTCCGGACTGAGGTGTCCATGAATCTGTGGACGTGGCTGAGGAGAGAATGCATATGTTGCAAATTTTCCAACTGAAATGGAAACTACACAGTCAAATACTAGTGTACAAAGTAATGGGTTTCAGAATGACATTTTTATTTCATTGTATTATATATATTCTTTGACCATATTCACCCTCATAGCTCTTTCCTGTCACCTATGGTTCATTTCTCTCTCTCTCTCTTTCTCTCTCTCTCTCTCTCTCTCTCTCTCTCTCTCTCTCTCTCTCTCTCTCTCTCTCTCACACACACACTCACACACACACACACACACACACACACACACACACTCTTTAGGTTCCCATGTGAGAGAGAACACATTTTTATGAATCTGGGTTAGTTTTATGCTTCTCCAGCATCTATCCATTTTTCTAGCAAATGATAGAATCTCACTCTTTGCAGCTCTATTAAATTATCTACACTGCACCTACACCTCACCTTCTGTAACCCCTTTCCCATGGTGACAGGCTGTTGTGAGTACTGCTGCAGTGACCATGCATGTAGCGTGGTGACTTAGCTCTGTTGGGTGTGAATATGCCTAGGAGTGGGGTTCTAGTTTTAGTTTTTGAGGAACCCTCATACTGGTTTCCATAGTGACTGCACTAGTTCATAGTTGCACCCATGTCTAAGGGATTCCCCCTGTATGCACTCTCTAGTGTCTGGTTGTATTTTAAAGATGTATTTTAAGTTATGTGCATATATCTGTGTATCTATGTGCACATGAGTGCAGGTCCTATGGAGGACAGAAGAGGGCGTTATTACCTGGAGTTGGTGGGGACTGCCTCACATGGGTGCTGGGAACTGAACTCAGTTGGACCTTCTGCAAGAGCCATGCATGTTCTTAACACCTCAGCCATGTCTCTAGTCCATTAAAAAATGTTTTTTTTAATTTAAAAAATCTTCATGTATATTGTATGTATATATGTATGCATATCACTTGTATGCTTTCTTTTTCTTTTTGGTGGAAGTCAGAAAAGGGCATCATATCCCCTGGAACTGGAGTTAGAGATGGCTGTGACCTTCCAAGGCCTCTGCAAGAGCAGCAAGTGCTCTTTTGTAATGAGAATTTTCTTGGCCCAGCAGGGTCCTGCTGCCCTTCTCTGCCCAAAGAAACACACGGGAGCTATATTAATTATGAAACTGTAGGGTGTTGGCTGTGGCTTCTTATTGGCTAGCTTTGACTTAATTATTAACTCATTTCTATCCATCTAAGTATTTCCACGTGGTCTTGGCTTACCAGGAATGCTGGACCTGCAACTCCTTTGCCTGCTATGTCACCACAGAGAAGAGGATGATTTCCTGCTTGTCCCTGCTTACATTATTCTGCCTGTCTGTACAGACCTCCAGACCTCTATGGTTAGCTAATGCTGGACCCGCAACTCCTTTGCCTGCTATGTCACCACAGAGAAGAGGATGATTTCCTGCTTGTCCCTGCTTACATTCTGATTCTGCCTGTCTGTACAGACCTCCAGACCTCTATGGTTAGCTAGTGGCAGTTTCTGCCCAGCTATGTCACTTCCTGGGATCACATGATGACTCCTCTCTGCCTACACTTCCCAGAATCCTCCTTGTCTCCTAGTCCTACCTGTCATCCTGCCTGGCCAATCAGTGTTTTATTTATCAACCAATAAGATCAACATATACATAGAAGAACATCCTCCATCACGCTTGCTGACACAGTTCTCCAGCCCCATGTCTGTTGACAGTCATTTTGACTGGGGTGAAATGGGATCTCAAAGTAATACTGCCTTGTGTTTCCCTGATGTCCAAGGATGCTGAACTTCTTTTATAGATATCTGTTGCTCATTGGACTTTGTTTTTGAGAAGTGTCCATTTTATTTGCCCACTTACTGGTTAGATTATTTGCATTCTTTTGTACTAATTAAAAATCTTAAAAATTACACTTTTGGGGGCTGGAGAGATGGTTCAAAGTTGGGAGCACTGGTTGCTCTTCCAGAGGAGGCAGGTCCATTCTCCACACCCACATGACAACTCATAACTTCAGTAACTCCAGTTTCAGGAGATTTCATTCCAGTATTTGGCCTCCTTTTTTTTTTTTTTTTGGACACAGAGTCTCAGTTTGTAACTTTGGCTGTCCTGGAACTCACTATGGAGACCAGACTGGCCTTGAACTCACGGAGATACACTTGTCTCTGCCTCCAAGGCATGTGTCAACATGGTCAGCTATCTTATATTAAGATTTAATTTAATTTTATATGTATTAGCATTTGGCCTGCAAGTATCTATGTGTATCATGTTCATGACTGGTGTCTGAAGAAGCCAAAAAAGAGCATTGGATCCCCTGGAACTGGACTTACAAATGGCTGTGAGCCACCATGTGGATGCTGGAAACTGAACCCAGGTCCCCAGGAAGAGCAGTCTGCTCTCCTAACTGCTGAGCCATCTCTCCATGTTGTAGTTTTTAATTTTATGCAGTCTTTCTTGCTATTCTTAAGTTGTTGGCATCTTTTCTAGGAAATCTTTGTCTGCACCTGTATTTTGAAGTGTCTCCCTGGCATCATTGATCTGTTTTGATTTATTGTGACAGCTTGAATGTAATTGGCCCCCATAAGCTCATGGGGAGTGGCACTATTAGGGGTGTGGCTTTACTGCAGTAGGTGTGGCCTTGTTGGAGGAAGTGTGTCACTGTGGAGGCGGGCTTTGAGGTCTCATATATGCTTAAGCCATGCCCAGTGTCCCAGACTGCTTCCTGTCACCTGCAGGTCATGATGTAGGACTCTTAGCTCCTTCTCCAACACCACGTCTGCCTGCACGCTGCCACCGCACCATGATAATAATGGACTAAACTTATGAAAATGTAAAAATGTTTTTCCTTTATAAAATTTGCTGTGGTCATGGTATCTCTTTACAGCAATAGCCACCCTAACTAAGATAGTTATTTTTACATTTTATTTATTATTTGTTGTGTGCGTGTACACACGTGTGCATATGTGGGTGTCATGTGTGTCATGGTACATGGGTGGAGGTCAGAGGACAACTTGTGGGAGTTGGTTTTCTTCTTCCATAGTGTGGATCCCCAGGATCTAACCCTGGTCATCAGGTTTGGTGGCAGGTACCTTTGCACAGTGAGCCATCTCAACGATCTTTTTTTTTTTTTTTTTTGGTTTTTCGAGACAGGGTTTCTCTGTAGCTTTGGAGGCTGTCCTGGAACCCACTTTGTAGACCAGGCTGGCCTCGAACTCACAGAGATCTGCCTGCCTCTGCCTCCCAAGTGCTGGGATTAAAGGCGTGCGCCACCAACGCCCGGCTCATCTCAACGATCTTGAGTTGATTTTTGTACAGAGTTCCCTATGTGGAAATGTAGCATTTCCAATCTTTTTTTCAGTGTATGAATGATAGAACTCAAAAAAGAAGAGAAATGCATGGGCGGTGAGTAAAAACTTGAAAAAAAGATGCAGGGCGGTGGTGGTGCACGCCTTTAATCTCAGCACTCGGGTGGCAGAGGCAGGTGGATCTCTGTGAGTTCTAGGCCAGCATGGTCTATAAAACTACACAGAGAAACCCTGTCTTGAAAAACAAAAACTTGAACAAAGAAACCGAAATGGTGAAAATTGATACATATATAATCATATATTCCAATCTAGGTTAGCATTGTGACTACATGGTCCTCCTTGACACAAAAATCCATTAATGACATAATTTTGAAAAAAGGAATAGTAAATGAACACATTTAGCATCTTAGGTGATAACATGTGGGTGTGCACAAATCTGGAAAAGTAAATGCAGTGGAGAACCTGTCTTAAGTGTCTATTGTTGTGAAGAGACACTATGACCACTGCAACTCTTAAAAGGAAAGCGTTTGATGGGGGCTGGCTTAAATCTGGAAAAGTAAATGCAGTGGAGAACCTGTCTTAAGTGTCTATTGTTGTGAAGAGACACTATGACCACTGCAACTCTTAAAAGGAAAGCGTTTGATGGGGGCTGGCTTTAACCCTTTCAAATAGTGCCACTCCCCATTGAACAAGCGTCCATATCTATGAATCCATGCAGGCAGTTCTTGCTCAAACCACCACATTCCACTCCCTGGCCCCCACAGGCTTGTAACCATATATAATGCAAAAATGCGTTCAGTCCAACATCGAAGGTCCCCATGGTCTATAACAGTCTCAACACTTTAAAAGTCTAAGTGTTAAAGTATCAGAGACTCCAGGCAATCTCTCTCTCTCTCTCTCTCTCTCTCTCTCTCTCTCTCTCTCTCTCTCTCTCTCTCTCTCTCTCTCTCTCTCTCTCTTCCATTATAGGGTTTCTCTGTAACAGACCTGGCAGTCCTGGAACTGACTCTCCTGACTCTCTAGATCAGGCTGGCC